GCTGGGATTTTGCCAGGATTCCCGTGGCAGAGGTTTCCCACGAACCTTCCTCTGTGGGAATCTGTGGCTGCACCTCAGGGGCTGAGGTTTCTTGCTGCACTTTTTATAAAAATCTCATGACTTAGGCTCAACAACAACAACAACAACAACAAGCACCTGTGGCTCATGGATGGGCTTGGTGGCCAAAATCCCAGGTGGGAGTGGGGTTTGGGATGTGTTTGTGCTTGGGGAGGCTGATCCTTGCCCAAACTGGGAATGTGTGCACTCAAGCACGTTGGCCCTCAGGTATTCCAGGCAGATCTGGTGCTTCCAAAACCTGAGGCCCTTGGAAGGAATCAACCAAATGTTTTGTAAAACGTGGGCAAACAGCATCCTGAGCTGCTGGGGCAGCTGGGAGGTGGTGCTGGGGCAGGGATGGTGCTGGGATATGGGAACTGGAATTTCTGTACTGGGAAATCAGTGGGTGTAGGGTTATGGGAACTGGAGTTTCTGTACTGGGAAATCCGTGTAGGGATATGGGAACTGGAGTTTCTGTACTGGGAAATCAGTGGGTGTAGGGATATGGGAACTGGAGTTTCTGTACTGGGAAATCAATCAGTGTAGGGATATGGGAACTGGAGTTTCTGTACTGGGAGTTGGTGTAGGGATGTGGGAACTGGAGTCTGTACTGGGAGATCAGTTTGGAAAGTCGAGTTTATGGAGTCATGGAATCCTGCAATGGTTTGGCTGGGGAGGAACATTAAACCCATCCAGTGCCTCCCCTGCCATGGACAGGGACACCTCCCAGTGCCCCAGACTGCTCCAAACCCTGTCGAGCCTGGCCTGGGTCCCTTCCAGGGATCCAGGGGCAGCCACAGCTGCTCTGGGAGTTGCATCCCAATATCCTGTCTCACCCAGCCCTGTGGCAGTGGGAAGCCATTTCCCCTTTTCCTATCACTTCATCCTGGCCCCAAACCCCTTTCCAGGTTGCAGTGTGTCCAACATCCGTGTCCATGCCTGTGTTTGACCCCCAGGTACGTGGGGAACCTCTCCAGGGACGTGACCGAGGCTCTGATCCTGCAGCTCTTCAGTCAGATCGGACCCTGCAAGAACTGCAAGATGATCATGGATGTAAGAGCCTGAACCCTCTGATTTCCCTGGTCCTCAGAGCTGCTGGCTCCAGGCTGTGCTGCTGGATCTGGGAATTCCTCTGGAAAAACAGGGCACAACCACCTGAAATAAATCTGGAGGTGCACTCAGATGGTTTTGGCATCGTTTCTGCACGTGCCTGGTGGTAAATTTAAGGATGAGTGGGCATGGAGAGGAACAATGAAGTCATTAAATCATGAGGGAGTTGCAAATGAGGTTTGAAAAACTCTTTACCATAATTTTTTATTCTTTCTAAAGAGTAAAGAACTAAAGAACTGAGAGCTCCAGGGTTGTTGTTAGTCCCTTTAATCAGAAATCCTGTCCTCATGGGGCTGCTGAGAGGGACAGTGAACTCCTTAAATCATGAGGAGGTTGCAAATGAGGTTTTAAAAATCCTTGACCACAATTTTAGCTTTCTACAGCAGAATTGAGAGCTCTGGGAGCATTGTAAGTCCCTGTAGAGTCAGAAAATCTCTCCTCATGGGGAGGCTGAGGAGCAGTCAGAGGCTGAGCAGAGCAGGCAGAGCCTGGGTGTGTGTCCCTAATCCAGGGTTTATGCCCCTAATCCGGGATTTATGCCCCTAATCCAAGGTTTGTGTCCCTAATCCCGGGTTTGTGACTCTAATTCAAGGTTTGTGTCCCTAATCCCAGGTGTGTGTCCCTAATCTGGGGTTTGTGTCCCTAATCCCGGGTGTGTGTTCCTAATCTGGGGTGTGTGTCCCTAATCTGGGGTTTGTGTCCCTGATCCAGGGTGTGTGTCCCTAATCTTGGGTGTGTGGCCCTAATCCCAGATGTGTGTCCCTAATCCCGGGTTTGTGGCCCTAATCCCAGATGTGTGTCCCTCATCCCGGGTTTGTGTCCCTAATCCCGGGTTTGTGTCCCTAATCCTGGGTGTGTGTCCCTAATCTGGGGTTTGTGTCCCTAATCCAGGGTGTGTGGCCCTAATCCCGGGGTATGTGTCCCTAATCCCGGGTTTGTGCCCCTAATCCCGTGTTTATGTCCCTAATCCCGGGTTGGTGTCCCTAATCCCGGGTTGGTGTCCCTAATCCCGGGTTTATGTATGTCCCTAATCCCGGGTTTGTGTCCCTAATCCCGGGTTTATGTCCCTAATCCCGGGCTGTTTCCTGTCTCAGACAGCTGGCAATGATCCCTACTGCTTTGTGGAGTTCTACGAGCACCGGCACGCGGCCGCAGCCCTGGCAGCCATGAACGGCAGGAAGATAATGGGTAAGGTAAGATGCCATGCTCGGGGTGAGTCTGGGGGCTGTGCCAGGGGCTGGGGGCATCCCAGGGGGAAATCCTGCTGGGAAATGAGAGGAGGTGCTCAGCAGGGAACGGATCAGAAGAGTTCAGAGCATTGGGGGGAGTTCA